AAGTATATTAATATTTATATTATAATGGATACTGTCTGTATAATAGTAATAGAATTGGCATCGGGCATCAAGCGGTGGGATGTCAACCAACAACCACCAACAACCCACCACCGATTTAAATCATCCTACAAATTACAACAAATACATTTTATCACGACTTAAACTAGACGGTTATTTTTTTAATAATTTAAATATGTGTTCATTGCTATTGTCAATTTAGATTTAATTTGAGAAAAAAATATCAATTAATCTCAAATTATTATACTATTATACATTTTACTACATTTATAACGAATACTATTTAAATTTAAAGAAACATATAGTGTTTTATTTTTTTTGACATTGTTGACTAGCAGATAAAAAAATGCAAACACTATTTTCATCGCAGCCAATTGAGAAGTCCTTGGGTAAATAACTATAGGAGGTTAAAGTATCAATGTTTTTAAGACTTCAAACTACATTGTTATTAGCTAGTTTTTACTGTGGACAATATTCCACACCATTATTTTTAACTTGCAATTCACTATGTCATGCGAGAAGCTTAAAAATAAATCATAAAATGAACTTCGTTTTTTTGACACTCCATTCGGTTTGTATGGCGGCTACGGTTGGTACGCGTTTTTTATGTGAGGCAGATAGATCGTCGCAAAGAACCCTGGTGCCTGGTGGTCACCCATCTGGGAGCCTGCTCGACCTCTGCACACATTATATTAGTGACTGCGTCCAATCACCGCGATTCACCAGGTCACCATTCAATGAACTCTAATACCATCCACGTTAAATTGTATATTATTATTATTATATGTTTATATTATATTTACCAGTTTAAATTCTTGCAAATGTATTATATTATATAACATTTGACATATAAACAAATTGTATACAATATTACAATCCTTAATATAGCAATAGTACTGAGTAGTAAAATATATAATGGTATATACAGATTAGTGTAAATTTAATAATTTGTTGATCGTTGCCACATCGATAAAATCAAATATTAAAATTACTTGACCATCATATTTAAAAGGTGATTTTGAAAGGCGCTTTAATATAGATACTTGTATATTTTAGAAAATTAAGGTTTCGGAAATATAGTTAAAATATATTAGACTAGGTACGTTATGTTATTTGGTATTAGCAAGACTTAAACAGTTAACCTAACTATTAATTAATCATAGAAATAATAAACTAGGTATAGGATCAATGGATCATAGTCAAATACAATTTTAATGTAAACATTCAAATTAATAATTATGTATATTCTTATAACGTATCTACTATACAGAGTATGACAGTATATATGAAAAAAAAAAAGAAAATTAAATATGTCCATTTATGTTCAATTATTACCTAATAATCGTTAGGGATCAAATGTGTACCGGTTATTAGGTATTTATTCATTGCTCAACATTTTAAAAAACCTAAAATATATATAGATCTATTAGAAATTTGATAAAGGTATACAAATAGTATGTACCTACCTATTATAATAATTAAAAAATATAAAATGTATTAAAAAAGGATAATGAAAGGATTGCTGAATAAAAAAACTTGAAAATTTACCCATAGACCATAAGTTATTTCATATTAGAAGTTCAAAAGTAATAAACATATAAAAATTAAAGGCACACATTTTTTTATGAGCATTTTAAATTCAAATTTTGACGAAATCCATCATAATCGCGAACATTATCAAATTATTTTGTATTTAAAAATGTATATAATGTTCAATTTTTATAGCTAAGAACTAGAAGTCCCCCCAAGCCCCCCCCATTTCCGCCTATGCTCGTATACATTATAAACATATAATATAACGAGCCCATGGCTGATGGGCCTTTCGCTGATAAATTATTTAACTAAAAGCTGTTTTTGAATAAATCTAGCTTATCAAATCTATCCTATAAGTACACCTATAATTGTATAATTAATTTTAATTAATGCAATCTAAACTACGACCTGCAGTCACATCTTAATTGGTTGACGGAATATCACTTCACGCGTGAAACTTAGCACTCTAAGTACTGTGTTGGCAGCTATTTTAAGACGAAGAAAAATAATTAAATTAATTGAAAACATTACTTTGCTTTACTTTAATTCAAACACTATATTATATAAATACCAAACTTAAAAAAAGTTAAATGCTTCTTGGAAACAATTTCACTGTCCAAGTATCACAATATTATAAATAAACTAATTCTATTCGATTAAACAGTGTATAGGCACAATCGTCGTCAACAAATATCAATACTAGCCAACATGGCATAATATCAATGTTATATGTGACGTAGTGTTTACTGTTTATACGTCATAATAATATCATAATAATAATAATGAGGGACGGAGTGGCCGAGCGGATTAAGGCCTCGGTTGCGACGCACACTGGCACCGGTTCGATGCCGGCCGCGGGTGGCATTTTACTTCGGGCAAGTCACGGTGTCTGGAGAAAAGTGCCACCATCCCCCACCCGGGCATGGCTACCTACGGCTGCCCACTGAAAAATCTGCCAAAAGAAAAAAAACACACGTGTTTAAAACTTACAGTACCCTCCCCCACAGTAAAAACCACTCAATGGCCTAACAGTTGCCGCGGGTTAATTAATAAAAAAAAAAAATTATAATAGGTAGGAATATAACGTCATTGAAGATACCAGGTATTACTTGTAGGTATATACAATAGTTTATTGTGTGGCAAGGGCTGGAAGCGATCAATTTCAGCGACAAGTCGGCAAAGGTAATGCACTATGCAGGGATATTCTATGCAACAACTAGACTATTCTACGAAAACAATTTCATGAAAGAAAATTGTTTGCTCGTCATGCAGGGAGGTTATAATATGAATATAAGATGTTGCCCACGATGTAGATAACCTAAAGTTTATGTTTTGTAAGGACCGTGGTATATAGTTTTCAGTGTTGCCCCAATTAATTATTCGAGAGGGGGTAACATTTATTTTACCCCCAATGATTTTTTGACATCATACAGCATACATTTTATACATACATTTATCTAGTTAAGTCTTAACACAAATTAATGTGACTTTCTGGTAAGGTTTTCTTTTAACTTTTCTTTGGTAGACAGTCAAAAATTTTTTAATTTTCTCAATTTTAAATGAATTTTGTTTAAGTTTCAACTTTAGACCCATATTGAAAATAATATATTGTGGATCTGTGTTCAACTTAATCGAGAGAGGAAATTATTTATCGATGATAATTAAAATAAAAATGTTTAATGCTCAAAAAGAGTCTATATATTTTGAATATCTTGTAGGAAATATCTATTCTTATATATTATATAAAAATGTTGTCAAAATATAAAGTTTTTACGGTTATTCATTTTTGAGTTGCAACAGAAAAACACAATCGATTTTTTACTAATTAATTATTAATAAATTTTTAATTTTTTTTTACTTTTATATTTGTTAATTTTTTTTTGTTTTTCACGACGCTTTTGAAAATTACTGGGAACTTTTTTACTTTTGATTTTTGACTCAACAAAGTATCAACTTGATTCACTTTCCTATCAGAAAAGATGCTGAAGTAGAAATTTGAACCATTTTTACTGACATAATAGGTGATTGCAGACATAAAATAAAAATAAAATATAAAAACACAAATCGTTGTAAAATAAAATTGTTCATGTGTGCCGGAGGGCCATAACCCACGCTTTTTCAGTTGATATGTAGGTACTAATTGTTTTATCACTTGTAAAATAAAAAAACTAAATGTACTCATTGTACTGTATTATCAGAGATTTTGACTTTTTACATAATACTATTGATTATAAATACAAGAATTTATGTTTTAATGGTAAAACTATTAACTAAATTATTAGTTATTGGCTATTTCTAATGTTATCACACAGTACACACTGCACGCTGCGACACACTAGGAAGTCATCTTTCTTATATTTGTACAATATCTTTTTACACTTAGGATTACGATTATCCACCAATTTTGGTTGTACATTCACCCCTTAAAATAGGTGTGGCGGCTGCCACACCTAATACATGGGTTCGGCGCCACTGCCAGTTTTGTTTTGTTTTTTTAATTTGTACCTATTATCTATATAATAAGAATCTAACTTGATTTTGGAGACGAAGGAAACCGGTTTTGAGAGTCTATTACCTAAGCGCTTCCTCTCATAATAATAATAATAATTATATGTATAATTAGATTACCTAATTACCAATTAAAAAATATATTCACCAATAACGATATCTGTTTCTTTTTTTTCTTTTTTTTCTTTACTTTATAATTGACCTATAATAATGTTTCTAATACGCAAGCGCATTCCTTTATTTATTCGATCGATGAGATCGACATCTCCAACTCCAAACCTTCAGTCGATTTTTGTACAGCGTTACTAACAGATCTAATTTTTTTTTCAAGTGTGATTTAAATATATTATTAATTCAATAATAATAATTATTATAATAATAATAATATTCATTATTATGACTAATAAAAGGTGCATCGTTTTCCATTGTGAAAATCGTTCAAATTGCATTCAGGCAATTTCATCGTATGCAATTCCAAATGGAGGAGAGAGGTATTTAATAACAGCTAATACTTAATAATTGTAATTAATAATTCTATAATGTGTACCCACCTAATGATTTAAATACTTATAGGTTAATACAATGGCTTAATAGTTGCAACAGGACCGATTTATTGGAACGTGAAAACCATATTCGTACGAATAATAAAAACTTTAAAGTGTGTAATTGTCACTTTGAAACCAATATGTTTTTTAATACACAGCGTAAGAGGTTAAGACCAAATGCTGAACCCACATTATTTGGTATGTGGTATATATACATTATTAAATAATATATCTGTTTATTATACTTCACCTATGTTTCACTACTATTTATTATTAATTATTATAAATTCATATACTTTAGGTGATATACCTTTCAAGTGGGTAAAATTCCGGTCTGCCTATTTATACAATCCTAAGCATCCATATTATGACGACGATGATGTTTGTATCGGTGTAATGGATGTAATTTGTCAATATTGCAATGCAATGAAATTCAAAGGTAGATTATTAGTGTATACATTTTTAGAATTTTGAAAACTTTTTATATTTTTTTCTTAATTAAAGGAGAATCTGCTGGTATGTGTTGTTCAAATGGAACTGTTCGTATTCCCAATATCGATGAACCACCAGAACCAATGAAAACTCTTTTGGAAAGTTCAACAAATATTTCAAAACACTTTTTAGAAAATATTACTAAATATAACAATGCATTTCATATGACGTCATTTGGAGCAGCAGAAACTATTGTGGAAAATTATATGCCTACATTTAAAATAAGAGGTCAAGTATATCATTTAGCCGGATCGTTGATGCCTTTACCAAATACAAATCATAAATATTTACAAGTTTATTTTATGGATGACGAAGAGGAACAAATTGATGCTCGAATGGGTATTTGCAGTGGATTGAATAAAGGTAATTGTATATTGTATATATTTGTTGTTTAAAACGTTTTAATTTATTTATTTATACATTTAGATATTATAAGAGATTTGCAATTATTGTTACATAATATCAATCCTTTAATTACGAAGTTCAAAACTGCATTGGATCATATGCCAACTGATCAATACCGAATAGTCATAAATGCAAATATGGTTCCTCAAGGTTAACATAGAGGTAGATTTAATGCACCAACTCAAGTAGAAATGGCTGTAGTAATGATTGGAGAAGAATATGGAAATCGTGATATAGTTTTATCTAGAAAAGATGAAAAGTTACAACGAATAAGTGAAACTCATAGGTAAATTCCTTTTAAAATGTATACACTATACATTTTTTCTTAATTTTTATTTATGTGTTTTTTAGGTCTTACGATTCTCTTGAATATCCACTGATATTTCTACACGGTGAAGATGGTTATGCTATTGATATTTTGTCATTTAATGTTAATTTAAATGAATACAATAGTCATAAAACTATCTCTTCAAAACAGTTTTATGCGTATAGGCTGATGGTGAGGCATGATATCTACAATCATTTACATAATTATAGACAACTTATTAATAAATATTGGGTAAGTAAACAATATTTTTTCAACTTTTTTCAACATGTTTTTCAAAAACATGTATAAATATTATAATAATACAAATAAATGTAATTTTTAATTTTAATTTTTTGAAAGGTTGATATGTATGCCAAAATAGAATCAGAACGACTTTTATTTATACGGAATAATCAGTAAAAATTAAGAGCGGAAGATTACATTCATTTACGTGATGCTATAGAAAATGATGGTCATGTGAATGACATTGGACAACTTTTTATTTTACCTTCTTCATTTACAGGAGGTCCAAGGTAGTAAAATATTTTGTATCTTATAACTTAAAATTGCTACGAAAAATGTACTGCAGTGTGTTGTGTGTAATAGTAATTTTAATAATCTAAAACTGTACGTCTGTACATACTATTGATTTTTAGATACATGCACGAAAAAACGATGGATGCCATGACTTACGTTCGTAATTTTGGAACTCCAAATTTGTTCATTACATTTACATGTAATCCAAATTGGATGGAAATAAAAAGAGAACTCAAACATGGTCAAACTGCACAAGACAGACACGATATTATCGCTAGAGTTTTTCATCAAAAAATGAAAGTTCTGATGAACTTAATTGTGAAACATCGTATATTTGGTGAAACTCAGTGTTATATGTATACTGTTGAGTGGCAAAAACGAGGTAATAAATGAATACTATTATTTATTTATTTATTTATTTTTCTACGTATAATGATTCATTATTTAAGGTCTTCCTCATGCTCATTTACTGGTTTGGTTAGTTGATAAAATTAGACCAAATGATGTCGATGTTATAATAAGTGCTGAGTTACCAAACCCCGAAATAGATCCTGAATTATTTGAAATAGTTAAAAAACACATGGTACATGGGCCATGTGGTCATATGAATCCAAATTCTCCATGTATGGGAGAAAACCAAAAATGTTCAAAAAGGTAATAATAAATTTTGATATTCAATATACATATTTAAATCTATTTCATATTAATAACTATTATAAATTTGTATAAATATTTTGAATTATAATTTTTATTTTTTTTAAATTAAGTATCTTTATAAAATGTCATTATTTGTATAAAGGTTAAAAGTTATTAGTATAACTTATATTTTGTGTTTGTTTAAGTGTAGGTAGGTATTTAGTTATTTTTTAGTGCAAAAGCGCACCCATATGTATTTATTAAACTATCTTAGCAATAATGCAGTTTAAACTTTAAACCTCCTCATATATATTCTACATTTTTTTTAATTAATGTTTTTTTTTTATATAATAACGATGCTGAAGTTAAATTTTCTTGATAGGACTTTCTTTGTAAGTTATGAGTAAAAATTTAATTTTCAAGTTATGAGATAGATATATTCAAGTGCCATGTAGTTACCTACTTAAGGTGGTTTTGCATAACAAATCGTAATTAGTTTACGATTAACATGATTTTGCATTTTTATTGTATACATGTAATGAAAAGAAATGCATATTTAATAAAAATTTGTTATATTAGGTATCCGAAAGCATTTACTAACAGTACTATTACTGAATATGATGGTTATCCTTGCCGTTGCCTGAATGTGATAGTAATGATAGTAATGATAGTAATGTTAATATGGATAATCAATTTGAATATATGAGGGAAACACAATATGATAAATGTAGTTTGAAAACTGATATTTCCACTAACGAGCCATGACTTACTAATGAACAGAGATGTGTATTTGATGCTGTCTATATAATTCAGTTCTTCGCCACGATGGTAAATTATTTTTCATCGACGCTCCTGGAGGAACTGGTAAGACATTTATACTAAAGTTATTATTGTCAAAAATAAGACATGAAGGAAAAATAGCGTTGTGTGTTGCATCGTCAGGGATAGCTGCAACATTATTGCCTGGAGGACGAACAGCACATTCAATGTTTAAATTACCTCTCACTATGATAAACAACGATTTACCTGTATGCAACATAAAAAAAGGGTCAGCAATGGCCAAAGTAATACAAGAATGTAAGTTGATTGTATGGGACGAGTGTACTATGGCTCATAAAAAAGCTATTGAAGCACTGAACCGTTCATTGATTGATCTGACTGGTAAAAATGATATCATGGGTCGGATTACGATTGCATTTTCAGGTACCTAATACAATTATTTTTCAGTTACATTTTATTTATTACCGTCATCAAACAACCATGTATTGTCATTACTCATTTCATTAGTTATGTAATATTTTTAATTAATTGTAGGTGATTTCCGTCAAATTTTACCTGTTGTGCCTCGGGGTACTAAAACTGATGAAATACATGTATGTATTAAATCGTCAAATTTATGGGAACATGTTATTAGATTGAAACTTACGTCTAATATACGAGTACAATTAAGTAAAGAACAAGATTCAGGTAAAATATAATGAATGGTCAATTTTTAATGTATTTGTATAAATATGAACAGTAATAAAGTGTTATTATTGATTCAAAGTAAATATAATTAATTTTTAATTAAAATTATACTTCAATAGTTATATTGTAATCATGAAATTCATATTAATTTAATGGAAAAATATTTTAATTTCAGATGAATTTAGTAAGTTTTTATTGGATATTGGAGAGGGAAAATTACCGATAGACGAAAATAATCAAATTTCATTGACCCGATGACTTTGGAAAAATTATTTTTAATATCCCTGAATTAATAAATAGTATTTATCCCGACTTAACCAATGTCACTTTATGTAATAATTCTTGGTGGTGTGAACGTGCTATATTATGTTCAAAAAACTCACAAGTCACTTTAATTAATTCTATGATATTAAATTGTATTAATACGAAAGAAACACTATATGTTTCAATTGACACAACACCAGATCCTGAACAATGTGTGAACTATCCTTCTGAATTTCTTCATACTTTAAATCCACCTGGTTTTCCACCGCATGAGTTGAAATTAAAAGTAGGCATTTTATATTTTGTTAGTACACTAACATAAAATTAATCTGAATAATATTATTTTTAATTTCCATACGCCATGATATACTTCATATTTTTTTAAGGTTGGAACACCCATAATATTGCTCCGTAATTTAGACGCACCTAAATTGTGCAATGGAACAAGATTATTGATTTCAAATTTACACCAAAATGTGTTAGAAGCAACTATTTTAACTGGTAGTTATTCCGGAGAAAGTGTGTTCATACCTCGAATACCAATGATACCCACAGATTTTCCAATTGAATTTAAAAGATTACAGTTTCCTGTAAAACCCTGTATGGCAATGACCATTAATAAGGCTCAAGGTGAAACGTTCAAAGTCATTGGGATTGATTTAAGTGAGCCATGCTTTTCTCATGGTCAGTTATATGTAGCGTGCTCTAGAGTAGGCAGTTCTAAGTGTATTACAATTTTATCACCATCTGCAAGTAAAACTAAAAATATTGTTTACCCGGAAGTTTTGTAAATATCAATGATATAATTAATATTGATTTAGATATTTAGATATTTATATTTTTGTATATATGTATATTATATAAAATAAATTATGTTGGGTTTAATATTTTTTTAAATGTAATTAATTTAAGCTATTTTTGTTATTACATTAAAATTAATCTTATTAACTGTATAATTTATTTAATGTTAGATAATACCTACCTACCTATTATAAATGTTAATTGAATTGTAGCATAATTATAAAATAAACATTATTATTCAACGTCACGCGTATATGTGTTAATTACGTATTATGTATTTATGTGGTATCTTTAGTTTTGACATTTCATTGGGCAGTGGCCCCACCCATAACACGCCTCCCTCATGCTATTCGTTAATGGCATTTCCATCGACCCTTTAAATACGAGCACTCATCTATATCGATTATCAGTTATTCTTTCACCATTTAAGTGAAACGAAGTTTATCTAAAGTTCGTATACCTACTTATAGTAAAAAATTTGCTGTTTCAATTATGGCCGGTGTGGTAAATATTCGAGACATCGATCAGTCATTGGGATCAAGGTAATTATATCGATTTTAAATTACTGAAACTTAGATATACAATACTTAACAAAGTATTAATGGCACTTTTTTTTGCACACGTACCAATTAATATTATATGCCGCATTTATAATATGATGTAGGTATTATAATTTCATATTTAGTTTTAAGATTGAAGCACGTGTTTTACAAGTTCACGAATTACGTTCCTTCAAAAATAATATAGGAAAACTTTTTTGTGTGGATATATTTGATGCTACGGGAGAAATACGTCTCACCGCTTTTAATAACGATGCCGAAAATGTGTGCTCAATTTTCAAGGTATGATATGAAGAATAGTAATAAATAATAATATTACGATCGTCAAATACGATTTATTAAATTTAAATATGTAGGGATCTTATATCTATAAAAACATTATGATTTGTACCTTTATAGAAAGACCAGATTTTTAGCATAGTAAATGGAAAAATAAACAAATCTAATAAATTATACAATCGCCTTAATCATAATTATGAAATTATAATGGGACCTATGACAATTATTACTCAAATAGAAGATACATCGGATGTAGTTCCAACACACGTCACTCTTATGACGTTTGATAGTATTATATCATTAAATAATGATGCGATAGTTGGTATGTATACACATTATTATATATTATATAGGCTATAGTCTTCCGCGTTATAATTAATTTTATTTACTACTTGATTACTTTCTAGACACTATTGGAGTAATAATTCGCATAGAAGACATAGTAGACATTGTAAAGCCAACCAAAACACTGAAACTACGAGATGTTGTAATAGCAGATAGGTAATACTGGAATCGAGGTAAGTAGGTTTTGTATTACAATAGACATTTTATCTATTTTAAATACCTATAAATGATTTTATGTTATATTTTATTTTAGATAACACTTAGGTACGCTATGGAACGAAGAAGCTTCTTTATTTACTGGACAAATAGAAGACGTTCTATTAGTTGAGAAGAGTAAATTAGTTATTTATAAAAAAGGGAAAAAATTATCTGTAACGCATTCTACTGTTATACAAATTAACCCTAATTGGCCTGAAAAAAGAGGTGTTAAAAGAATGGTATAAAAAGGAGGGCCGATATCAAGTCGATAGAATGGATTTAACACAATCATCGTCAATCGATAACACTACATTAAATCAATCAGGTTGGTTTTTAAAATAGGTTACACAAATTGACTTACATAGCAACATTCTATAATGTGTATTGTATTTTTTTTTCCAATAATAGATAACGCATATTTAACATCAGTAGATGACAAGGTTATTTCACAAATAATAGAAGACGAAAAGTCTACGAAGCGTCGTTTAGACGAGATATGTATCCTCCAAGAACAACTGCAAAATGAAATTAATGAACTTACATTTAAAAAAATCAGATTAAATCTCGAACGTCAAGCAGTAGAAAATAGAATTATTAGTAGAAGGCAATAAGACATTTGTCCGTATGCATAGTCAATTTATGTGTCAAATAAGACAGCTTAACACGTCTTATGTGACACATACATTGACTATGCATACGGACAATTGATTATTAATTTTATTATTGTTTATATAGTAACTTCTGTAATTTATTGAAATTCAAACGAAATATTCTATTTGTTTGTTTATTTATTATTGTTATTATTGATATTATTATTATTAATTATTTGTTTGCACTTGCATTTTTCTATTTGAAATATATATATTATTAATTGAACAAATAATTTATTGTTACCTTCTTTTATACCTTATCTCTATTCTATATAATAAAAAGAATACAATTTACCACTCCGGTGGTTGAATTCAAAATGTAGGATAGGTATCAAATTTTCAGAAATTACTAATAATAATAACTACCTACAATATGAAATTATATTATATTGTTTGTATAGCCAAAAAATAGTCATGTTTTTAAATTAAATTTTAAAAAAATAATTCCTTCCGGAGGAAGATCGGGCAGCTAGTTATTAAATAAAGAAGTATAAAGTTTTATTGATTTTAAATATAGTTTTTCAAAAATAATAAATGTATGTATGTATTATTAATTAATGAATGCAGACTGTTTTTAAAAATGTTTTACAATAGCATACATTTTTATAAAATAAAGGTACCTATGGTAATGATGTAATATTCACATGCAAATATGCAATCATTACATAATTTACATAACTGTTGAATATTTAAGACTTATGTAAGTAAATTAAGTTATTAAAATCATGAACTACCTATACAACTAAACAACTTTAAATTTTATAATATTAATTAATATGATAAAATTATAACAATAATGTATTTATCAGTGTTATGAAAATGTAAGCCACGGATTATTAGTCCGTGGTAAACATTCACCCCTTAAGATAAGAGAATTTTGGCCATTGTTAGCTTGTCGCTTGTTATAAAAATAAAAATTGAGTATACTAATAGAATTTAGCGATGATCGTAAAATCACGTCGTCGCTGTTTACTGTTTAGCTTGTCACCAGTTTCAATATTAGTACGGTTAAGTTGGGTTAGGATTTTGTATTAATTGATTATATTATACCACCATAGGTGGAATACGACAAACTTGGTATAACTTTGATACATTAGAGTTAGGTGGAATAGCGGCCCTTCAGAGAGGTTTAACGAAAAAATCGAGTACACTGTTGAAAAGCTTATAACATTTTGAAGTTTTTTTGAAATTTGCACCCACCTGCCTTAAAAAAAATTGTTGTTTGATAAAATTGAAATTTTTTTTAAATTTCGACATTTTAAAGTTATAAAAAATGTGTGTTATTTTTTTTACCCAAAAAATCATGGGGGAATCTTGTAAGATATGTCTTCCTAATCCCAAATTTATGAGCTTTTCATCGATGTATTCAATTTAATTGTAGTACCTACGGTTTAGCAGATATGAACATTATTATGAATCAAACTTGCCTTTAACAAAAAAACACAAACATGGAAATTATCACCCTTATTATTGATAATTCGACTATGGTCACAAGGACTTTTTTTGTTCCATTTGAGGTGTAGAAACACCTCTAGAAGTTTGACACATTTATCGTGCAACATCCTGTATTTATAGAATAATATTTCAATAATACATCAAATATCTATACTGACAGTGACATTTTATTCATACATAAATACATTAAAATAATGTGAATTTGATATTTATTATACGGTGGGTAGTACATTACAGCACGACAAATTAGGTAGGTATTATATCACAGTATTTTGATACGCATCCTCCTCTCTTTACTTCGCCTTTATCGTAGTTCTTCACTTCTTATTAGCTGTCGACCATATACCTACATAATAATATATAACATGGAACAAAATCGACCAGTGAGAAGTGGAAAACTACGCCATATAGGCCGGATGTGAAGTATCCTCTGCTCAAAACTAGTACAAGTGTACAACTGTGATGATGCCTATCGAATTTTTTTCATTCAATATATATACAAATCGTAAATTTTAAAACGTAATATTAATATTATATTTTGTGCGAATAAAACACCGGTATACAATGAAATACCATTTTTTTTTTTTTTTCATATCAGTGGGAAGATTAAATAAGTTGCACGAATTTTCCAAACAAGAACAAATACTCGAACAGAAATACACAGATATTAAAGAACAAAATGTAATCACGGATAAAAACTATGGTATTGCATTGAAAAATCTCGAGGAGAATAAATATAAAAGTGAACAAATGTGAGTATTTGTATGTAGCTGATTTAAAAAATAATAAATTAAGACTTTTCTGTGTAGTTTTAATATTTGATGACCTTATAATAATTAATAAATTTATTATTGTTGTTCATTTCAATTTTAGCGCTAAAAGAATCATGTTAAAACGATGTGTAGATTTCTCAGCGCACACGAAAAAACAATCATTGGCGGTTGAATGTCCTGTCGGAGGGGCTAGTACCAAAGAGGTCCTCGATCTCAAAGACATGGTATGGTACCTACGTTTATTTATTGCGGATACTGTTGATAAAATACATTTCTACTCATTAAAGGTGGAAATAGGCAACAAACAGAAAGCAGATCACACACAAAAAATTCTCAATTTGAAGGAAGAAAATAAATTACTTAACGAGACACTTAAAGAATTAACGAAATCGAACTTAGAAAAAATTATACAAAAAAATATTGATGATTGTTCGAAGAAGAAAAACGTAAGCTCAGCTGAATAAAATTATTCGACACACCTTCATATCATATACCGACACACCTATATTATCATTATTGAATCGAATAGTATCGATAATATTATTTTTAATCAATCACTGAGCATGCTCACCTCTATTTTTTCCCATGAATTTACTCAAATTCTGGTTATTGGCATTTTTAGTTAAGGCTTGATCTTGAACACCATAATTTCAAATATATAAATTTTTCATGTCGCTTAAGAATTAAGTGATTCCTGCGAAAATCACAACATAAAGTTATATTTTTCAAACAAGAACTGTCCATTTTTCTGTAAATTGTTAATCATATTATTTTATTTAGTTCCGCGGTGGCAGCCGACTGATACGCACGTATCTCGCGCTCCCGCTCTTCCTAATTACCTAATTAGTGAACGTCTAGATTCAATGCTTAGTTGCGTTTTACTTATACTAACAGTGTAAACTTCCGTTAATATAATAACTTTGTTTTCTTTTATTAAACTTTCCATGCTCAACTGCCTGTTAGGCAGTGCGTATAATATTGATCAAGTGCGAAAACGCACTATAGTTGTTACACGTGAGCCGTTGTGTTACGTAACTGCTTCATTGCGGTTATCTTATCTGCCGACCGCCGTCAGGCGGTCTTGCTACATATATAATTACAACCGTCCACCGCCGCTCGCTCATTAATTATTATGCCGATAACAAAAACCAAACAAAACACCAACACTAAATTACAATCCAAACCCAAGGCAAATACGTATAAACAATCAGAAACACAAAACTCTGAGATGAACAACCCAGGTCACAGCACCCAACGCAACATCACTAACCGCCCTGAAAATGGGAACTGGACTACTCAGAAAGGTAAAAGAAACCTTTCAAGTTCATCATCTACCTCTTCCATCATCCATCTTCCGAATGCACTAAGTCACCTGATTCCCCTGCCAAATGTGTATTATGTTCCGGAGATCATCCAGCCAACTACCGTGGTTGCAGCGTCTACAAGGAACTCCAACGCCGAAAAACGCCGACCAATAAAACTAAATTTTTACATGATACTATTAAACCAAATGTTAAACCTTATAATGTAAAAGAAAGCCACCCACTCGCTACCTTTGCGGAAAAGAATGAATCTAATCCCACAAAAACTTATGCACAGGCCACAGCTAGTCAATCACCTGAACCTTCTGCTCCCTCCGACCTAACTCAACTCATGTCCTCCTTTGTAGGTGAACTAAAATCTCTTATCAACCCATTAATTGCTCTCCTGACACAAGTTATCACTTCACTCCTAAAGAAAAACAATGATTAATTCCTACACTAATAACTCATTATCTATTTTACTGTTTAATGCTAACGGCCTAAAAAATCATGTTAATGAACTCCAGACAGTACTCTTTGACAAGCGCATAGATATCGCCTTAATATCAGAAACTCATTTTACCAAATATTCTCACATTTCCATTCCAGGTTATTACCTACTAAAATCTAACCACCCTGACGGCACAGCACATGGTGGGGCAGCTATACTTATTAAAACTAACTTAAAATTCTATCCTCTTACCAACTTCTCTCAAAATCATATCCAATCCTGTGCCATCTCAATCACACTTAATAATATTCCTGTTGTTATTGCAGCAGTTT